CAAAACTTTTATTAGCTGTGAAATACCAGAATTGGAATTTTGGACCAGATTTGGTCCAAAATTCGTTTAAGGGATAATTTAAATGCTAAATAATTATTGTAGGGTATTTTTAATAGTTTTTTACTACAAAAAAACTATTACATTCTAAATTTACAAAATAACGACGGTAATTTTAATATTTTAAATGGGTGATTTTTTAATTTGTAATATATTTTTATATTTATTATAGGAACCTAAGTCGAACACAACTTTACATTGTTCTATTACTGGACTTAATTGCAAAATGAAAATCAAAGGATTACTGTAGCTAAACTTACTCTTCTAGATATTTCAGATAATGATTCAAAATCAGTAAATGTTTATAAGTGAAACCCACCCATTTACTACTAAGGCGGATAATACATGTGACTTGATGAATCATGATCAAGATACAATTTCCAGTGATACTAGTGTTGATGATTCTAGTATTTTTAGTGATGCTTTTGATTATCCAGATAAAAGTATTGATTCATGTACATGCATTCAATGATTTAAAAGATCAAACAATTACAATAAAATTGAAGGACGTAAATTTAAATTTATTACTATTAATATTCAAAAAAAAATTGTTGCTATTAAATACTTATTATTTTAACAATTGTATCTGTAATATTACTTATATGATTTATAATGGTTTGCATTTTATAAATAAGAATAATAAAATTCAACTGTGTGTGAATTTTCTAGTACCAACTTAAAAATGAAAAAAAAAACAAAGGGTTAAAAAGTTGAAACAACGTCGACAGATTGAATTCTTGGATTAAAAAGCAAGATTCCATCAACAAATCCCAATTGGTTCTTTCCTTGTGTTGTTTTGTAGCGGATATTTATTTATTTAGTTTTCCATTTACTTATTTTTAGAAAATTTCATATGTTAAACTTTATTTATTTAGAATTCATTATTATTTAAAGGATTAAGTTTGTCAAAAAAAAAAAAAACTGTCAAATGATCAAAATTAAATCTTTAAACTTAAATGTCAAAATGTCGTGCGACGTCATTAATCAATCAGTGGATTCCGACGGAAGGAAAAAAAAAAAAAAAAAACAAAAACAAATAAAAAACAAATAATATTAATTGCATACTTTCCTTTCCAAACAAACCTCGCGAAACAGATGAAAAACCCAAAATTAGTATTATATCATATTAGAATAAAAAACCCATTTATATTCAACGCAAAAAAATGGTTTCCATTAAATTTATTTATTCCAAAAATTGAAATAAAGTAAATTGAAAATTTTCTTTTGTTTATTTATTTTTTTAAAAAATGGAATTGCTTTCTGTTGAATTCAAGCGCATTCCAAAAACTACAACTGCCGCCGCAAAAGCAACGACTGCCGCCACAACAACAACAACAACAACAACAGTAGCAACAGCCATCCCCACCACTGTCACAATTCCTAGCAATAATTCGATAATCACCAGTTTTACCAAACCAAAAAATGTTTTTGAAAATTATGCATCGGTGACAATGGATGGACAAAAATATATGAATGAAGAAGATTTTCTAAGAGTCATAGCACCGGGAGAAGATTATAAAAAAATAAAAAAAGAAATATTTTCCGCATTATTTAAAGTTGCTGATACCAATAATAAAGGACTGATTTCTCTACAAGATTTTGTAATCTTTGAAAATTTACTATTAAAACCCAATGCAGAATATGAAATTGCCTTTAAATTGTTTGATATTAAAGGCAAAGGTAAAATCACCATTGGACAATTTAAACAAATACTACAATCATATTTAAAAAAATCTGATAGTATACCATTTAATTTTGATTGTGATTGGTTGAAGTTGTATGCCAGTAATGATAAACATGAATTGACTTATGAAGAATTTTCCCAATTATTAAAAGGTTTAGAAGGTGAAAGAATACGTCAAGAATTTATGCATTACGATAAGGAGGGTAACGGTTATATTAAACCCGACCAATTCAAACAGATCATGCTTTCAACAGCAAAGCATAAATTGTCCGATTTTGTTATAGATCATTTAGATACTATAGCAGATTTATCAAAAAATGGCAGAATCAATTATGCAGTGGTAGTTGCTTTTCATAATGTTTTGCGCCAGATGAATATGGTAGAAAGAATTGTGTTGAAGGCGATTTCGAATAGTAAAGATGGAAAAATCACAAAAAATGATTTTATAAACACGGCTTCCAAAGAAACGTCATTTTCTTTATTCACACCACTAGAAGTTGATATAGTTTTTCATTTCGCTCGTCTTCTAAAAAATAAACCTGACGACAGATTAAGCAGAAATGATTTTATTCAACTACTGGATAATAAATGGCATCAGAAATCGTCAGAAACTAAACGACGCGTGGCAATTATTGATGGTGACGATAATGCTACTACTACTACTACTACTAAAATATCAAGGTCTGGTGAAAAAATGGGAATATTATTGGAATTGTTGCATCAAGTTTACTCGCTTACTTTGGGATCAATTGCTGGTTCTGTTGGAGCAACTTCTGTGTATCCTATCGATTTAGTTAAAACTAGAATGCAAAACCAAAGAACAAAGGTTTTGGGAGAAGTACTATACAAAAATAGCATAGATTGTTTTCGTAAAGTTTTAAAGTCTGAAGGAATTGCAGGCCTTTATAGTGGTTTAGGTCCTCAATTAATTGGTGTAGCACCTGAAAAAGCCATAAAATTAACAGCCAATGATTTTGTGAAATCACTTTTAACTGATAAAAAAACCGGCGAAATTTCATTTAAACGTGAGATTTTGTCAGGTGGAGTCGCGGGAGGTTGTCAAGTGGTAATTATGTATATTAATTAGTTAAAAATCAATCGAACAATTAATTAAATTTTTTTATAATTACAAAAAGGTATTTACGAATCCATTAGAAATTGTAAAAATTCGACTTCAAGTACAAGGACGAGCAGCAAAAAATTACATAAAACCAACTCCACACAAATCTGCATTATCGATAGTTAAAACTCTTGGTATAACGGGGTTATATAAAGGAACATGCGCATGTTTATTAAGAGATATACCATTTAGTGCAATATATTTTCCTGCGTACTCACATATAAAAAAAGATTTTTTTCAAGATGGTAAAGATGGAAAAAAATGTGGTTTAGGAGAATTATTGTTATCTGGTGCAATTGCAGGTATTCCAGCAGCCTATTTTACAACACCAGCTGATGTTATCAAAACGAGATTACAAGCAGAAGCTAGACAAGGACAAACTCAATACAATGGTATAATAGATGCGACTAAAAAAATATGCGGGGAAGAAGGATTTAAAGCTTTGTTCAGGGGTGGTCCTGCTAGAGTTCTTAGATCCTCTCCACAATTTGGCACAACATTAATGGTTTATGAATTATTACATCGATGGTTGCCCTGGAATGAGCCAAATAAAGTTGCAACTACCAACATTAATGACGATTATAATAGTATGGGTTATTTAAAAAGTAGAAATGCTTTAAAAATTTTGTTGGTATATATGGAATTTTATTTTTTATTTGAATTTTATTTTTTTTTAATTAAAATTCATTAATTATTTTGTTTATTAGGATTTGGATTATAAATTTGGTGCAACTCAAAAATAAGATAGAGAGGATTATATATTTATCATTAATTTACAAAGTTTTTACAATAAAAATCTCTTGGCTTCTATTGTAGCTTATTTACCTTGACCCTATATGCCTTATACCTTATACCAATAATCAGATCCAGCAGTCATCAAAAATGTAAGAGTTATATGATTTACATTTATAAAAAAAGTACCTTCTAGCTTTTTACAACAAAAAATAATTTTAATTTAAATAAATAAATAAATATTTTATTTATTTAAAAACTCCTCAAGAATATTAAGTAGAGCCTTGGATTTATAGTGCGAGCATGTAATTTCTAATACAGCTTGAGAGGTGTCTGATAAATATATATAAAATAAAATAAATGTAAAACATCCAATATGTATGCAATCCCCTTTAGCTTATGGCTCAAAGGTTCCTAATTCCTATTCTAACAATACTTTTCCTAGTATTGCCAGCACACAGCCCAACTATTTTTTACTAATGATATAGTCCCTCTATATCACTGGCATACAGCCCCACTAAACTTTGGGTAATTTCTAATACTACCAGTGCTAGTGCTAAACACTGTTGTCACACAGCCCAAGATAATAAAATAAAAGAAATATATACAACTAATTAAAATGAAAGTTGCAAAGGTTTCTCAAAAGGTTTTATTTATCAAGGACCAAGTTATTTGTTGTAAAAGTGTAATGTGTCTTTATTGGTGATAATAATTTTGTTACAAGATTATTATTAGATTATTATTATTGTATCATGAACATGATGATTCTCACTTGGTTTATATTTGTACCTCTTAGTGCTGATTGCTTTGTATGCCTGAAAATTCAGCAACATGGGAAGTTTCTGTTTTGGATTTTCCCTGAATTCAGAGCTTTGAGGCCTGGGTTGCTATCTTGTCGGTGGCATGCTTGCTCACCAACAACCCTACCCCCATTCGAAAAACAAATTCAGTTGGTCAAATAAAAATTAAAGAGATGCAGAAAATTTGGGAAATGATTAATTTATAACATACCAAACAAAATCCGAACCATTTTATTTTACAGCTTTCTCCTTGATGCCAGTGATCATGGTGACTATCACAATAGGAGTGGGCAGACTCAAACTGCCATCTTTATACTTGTAAGATACATGCTCTCATTGAGCTACACTTCTTTAACCTAGGGTGGGAGGTTATATGAACAAAAGTTCCCATTTAAAAAAACAACAAATTCAGTTGACAAATAAAAATTAAAGAGAAACAGTGAATTTGGGAATGATTAATTTATAACATACCAAAATCCAAACCATTTTATGACTTTTTTCTTGTTGGCCACATTGCTTACAAAGATGTATATAATCATGTGATAATTTTAACCTACAGGACAGGGGACTGATTGGCAAAAACCCCATTCAGTCCCCTACCCAAAATTATAAAATTGGTTAATATCAGAGAAACAGAGAATTTATGAAAATGATTATACAAAACAAATACTATTTTACAACTTTCTTCTTAACATCAGAGTCCAAATGCAATTTCAGGGCCACCAACCTTGCTCTGAATTGTAACTTCCTATGTTTGAACGAGTTGCAGATTCTCTTAATATTCCTCCAGAGTTGCAACAGCTTGGTCACAGAGCCACCCTTGCCCTAGAGGTGGGATCATTGCAGGTAACTTTTCAGCTAATGTGTCGGCAGCCTTCTCTGGTCTGAGAAGATTAGTGAAAGCGTCATTGACGATTGATACAGTCTCGGTAAACTCCAGACCCCCCTGGAATCCGGTAGCATTGTTGTATCATCGGGGGAATCTTGGTCAGATTAGCCTTATGTACATGAGGAACGTGTGAGAATGACTGTAATGTGTTCAAGGTAACGTGCGTGCTTCAACACTTGTAAATTTTCGATAATCAAACATTGCATATCAAATTGTTTCATATTCAACAGTCAATGCTGCTTTGACATCTTGTAATTATAATAATATAATATTAGTATTATTATTACGATTACGCGAAGTAAAATATCATCAATGAAAATCTTGTAATTACCCAGCAAGATCTGTTCCGCGTTTTGATCCCAATTAAAATATTTATGAGCTAAAATAAAAGACACCTCATACATATCAATACAAGTAAAAAAAAGTACCTCTGGTTAGTTATTAACACGTATTCTTTAGGAGACCCAAACCAAACCAAACAACAGCACTCACGTTTTGTCACCTTGGACTCTGTCAAAAAATAAATTTTCCAAAAAAAAAATCAATCAATTCGCGTCTGTCCTACCAAAAAAAAACCAATAGGATAAATAATTAATGTGTACGCGTCGATCAAATCACAAACTTCTTTTTCTTTATTTTATTTTATAAACATGCCCAAAGAAAACAAAAAAAGAAGCAAAGAAAATAATCGTGAAGAATTTCCTGGGCAAGTGATTTAAGGATGGTGGTGGTTATCGCCCTAAAAGTATGAGTGGTACAAGTCTAAAGATGACAAATGAATCAATACAACAATTCAAAATTAATTACGAAAATATGGAGGATGGTATGAAATGGAAGTTAAAATCTGGGAGGTGTGTATAAGACATCATATATAATTATGCATTAAAATGTGAATTTGAGGAGTAAGTTCTACTTTTATTTTGTTTGTTTTAATAACATTCAAGTATTGCATTACTAATACATTGAAATAGCATTGTCCATTCATATACAATTGATGTCTGATCCAAATGTCTCTAGATTATTTTTTAAAGAAGAAATAAGGGAAATAGAATTTACCAATGTCAAAAGTGAGCTAACGATGGGTGATGATACAAAAACCTGCATAAGTTCATTTGCTAAGGTACATTATTTTATTTTTTTGCACATTTGTCTATTACATAATTGACTAATTTTCTGCCTTCTTTATAGAATGTAGCTAAAAACAATGTAACAATTTGGTTTTATTTATATTTGGTAATTTGTGGTTATTATGAAAGCATTGAATTAAATTTCATGATTTCTGGACATACCAAATTCAAATGTGATGGTAGTTTTGGATTGATTAAAAAACTTTATAGAAAAACAAGTGTAGATTGTTCAGATCATGTGGTTGAGGTAATAAAAAAGTCTAGTCCAGCAGGATTGAATAAAGCTCAATGTTATGAAGGTGGAAAAGGTTTTCAATACTTAGATATTAAAGCTATTGTTACCGGAATTAGATTCTGACGAAGATATTTTGGACAAATCTCGTAATTCCGGGTCAAATTAATTCTAATTCTATTTTTATTTATTATTTCATTTTTTTTTTTTATTAACTTGTATAATTATTATCGTTTATACCTGTGTTACGTTTCGTATAATCATTTATTTTATTATTATTAATATTTATTTGATTTATTTAATGCGCCCATATGATTATTATTATTATTATTACATTATATTTTACAAAAATTATTATTTAAATAAAAAATTTTTTTTACATATACCGTAAAGTCTGGAAAGATAGCATCCCCTTTTTTACATATGTGTAACATTTTTTTTATATTGACGCTCAATTGTTTTAAAGTAGGGGTGCTATCTTTCCAGACTTTATGGTATTACATGATTTGATCATAAGTTTCGATTTAACGGATCCCTCGGTTTAACGGATAAATTTTCTGGAAAAAAATATCTGGGTTAATGTTATGTACAGTGAACCCTTGTTTCAACGAAGTATAATTAAATTTTTGATATAACGAATTTTTAAAAACGTTGTTATACATTATGAAAACATATAAAAATTCGTTGAAACGCGATTAGTGACCTTGTTTCAACGAATATTGAATAAAATTTTCTTATATGTCCAGCCACTTCGTTGAAACAAGGGCAGACTGTAATGTAGTGATGAATCAAAAAAAATATATTTCTCATTTTTAACGTTACACCAACTTTCATTACATCAACGAGTCATCATAATAATGTCAACATTTAAAATTTCCGATCTCATCAATCCTCCGGAATTGTTGTCACCAAATTATGATTATATAAGAAAACCATGTTAATAATGAAGTTTCTAGTTTATATTTAGATACGGACGATGATAGTAATAATAGTAATAATAATAACAAGATTATTACAAAGAAAAATTCCTTCCGCCACCTCTCTTCTCCTGGTGTTATAATTTACAAACACAAATGCAGTACATGCAAGAAAAATTTAATCGATTGGAACATTTGGTCCGTCATAATAGAACACATACTGGAGAAAGACCTCATGAATGCAATTGGGGGATGTAGCACAAGATTTTCCAGGTCGAGACATTGTAGGACTCACAATAAAAATAAGAAAAAATATTATAGAAATAGAAAAATTGGTGCTTCGTCATTTAAAATTAGCGGTGTCGACTTTGGTTAATAAATGTCATCACTTTATATTTGGTTAATTAATCGATAACGACCGTTAACACTTTACACTTTTACGTTCACACTCTAACACACTGATAAAAAAATTTTAGTTTTTAGGTTTACACTTAAATATTTAAAAACTTTTACAAAACGTAAACAAAAAGGTTTACACTTAACAAAAACTTGAAACAAACCTTTGCTTCTTTACCGAGCAAAAATTTTACTAGCGTTTTGTTTCTTCGAGAGAAGAAAAACGACTATACGGCCGTTAAAAAATTTAAGCGACCAAAGAAAGTCAAAGTAAATAAATAAAAAAGGAACTTTAGAGAAACCTTTGTCGTTTCTAAAAGGGCAACATTATTTATTGTAAACCGCACCATAAAGTGTGCTAACAGATCGTTGAAGCTTTTTAGAAAGACCATTTTACACAGTTGTTCAATGATAAGGCAAAATAGAGAAGAAAAAACAAAAACATTAAAATTGCAATTAAAAACATTAAAATTGCGATTAAAGTCATTAAAATTACGATTAAAATTGCGATTAAAAATAAATGTAGAATCTATTTCAGAGGAGGAAAAAATGTTTAAACACCAACTTAAAAGGGAACATATTTTATATGATTATAATTCTTTTCAAAATATTGAATTTATTGATTATTTGGAACAATTTCTCGTGCATTTTCAAA